GTAATTTATGAAGAAGTGAGAACTTAATGAGAGAAGAGAAAGAAAGGAGGGCCACCAGAAAGTCACCTCCAGACTCCATGGAAATCCTACCAAAATTCCAACGGCATTTTTCAGAGACAGAAAAAAACAATCCTAAAATTTGTATGGAATCACAAAAGACCCCAAATATCCAAAGCGATCATGAGAAGGAAGAACTAGGAATCAAGCTCCCTGAAATCAGACGATACGACCAAGTTCAGTAATACAAACAGTTCGGTACTGGCACACATATGCACACGCTGACCAATGGAAAAGAATAAAAAGGCCAGAAATAAACCCTCACATAAACAGTCAACTAACAGTTAACGAGGGAGCCAAAAGCACCCGATGGGGAAAGAATAGTGTCTTTAACAAACGGTGCTGGGAAAACTGGAGAAACACATGCAGAAAAATGAAACGGAACCCCTACCTCACACCACTCACAAAGATTAGCCTGAAACGGATCGAAGACTTAAATGTAAGACCTAACACCACAAAACCAGAAGAACATGCAGGGAGAAGCGCCTCAACACCGGCCTTGGCAATGACTTTTTCGACACGACACCGAAAGCGCAAACAACAAAAACACAAAAAGCAAAAAAGGACCAGAAAGCTTCAAACTAAAAAGCTCCTGTTCAGCAAAAGAAACACTCAGCAAAATGAACTACTGGAAGAAAATACTTGCAAACCACATAACAGATAAGGGGTTAGAAGGAACTCATATAGAAAATATAGAAGGAATTCATATAGAAAAAAGCAAATAATCCAATTTTTGAAATGGCAGAGGAGCTGAACAGTTCATTTTCCAAAGAAGACACACAGATGGCGAACAGGTGTATGAAAATGTGCTTAACATCGCAAATCATTAGGAAAATGCAAACCAAAATCACACAGAGGTATCACCTCACATCGGTCTGATGGCTATCGTGAAAAAGACAAGGTAACACAGGCACAGAATACAGACTTGTGGTTCCCAGCGGGGAGTGGGATGGGAAGGGATAGACTGGGAGTTCGAGATTTGCAGATACTGACTGGTGCACATAAAACAGACAAACAAGTTAATACTGTACAGCACAGGGAAATATATTCAAGGTGAAAAATATGAAAATGAGTATGTGAATATTCACGTATGGCTGAAGCACTGTGCTGTGCACCAGAAATTGACACAACATGGTAAACTGACTATAACTCAATAGAAAAGAAGACAAGATAAGTGTTGGCGTGGGAGAAGTGTGAAGTCAGTGCACTGCTGGTGGGAAGGCAAAGCGGTACAGCCACCATGGAGAGCAGTACAGAGGTTCCTCAAAAACTTAAAAATAGAACTGCGAATGCCACTTCCGGGAATACATGCAAAGGAAATGGAAAAAAGATCTTGAGGAGACAGCTGCAATCCTGGGCTCACTGCAGCAACTATCCACAGTAGCCAAGGCAGCCTGCATCAGTGGGTGAATGGGTAAAGAACACGTGGCACCTGTGCACACGATGGAATACGATTCAGTGCTGAGGAAGCGGGAAACCCCGCCATTTGCAACAACATGGATGGACCTTGAGGCGATCATGCTAAGGCATACAGAAAAAGGTAGATACTGCATGATCTCACTTACATGTGGACTCTAGAAAAGCAGAACTTGTAGAAAAAAGAGAGTAGAAGGCTGGTTACCAGGGGGCTGGGGCGGAAGCGGGGGTAATGAGGAGATATGTGTCAAAGGGCACAAACTTCCAGTTACAAGTAAGTTCCGGGCATCTAACGCACAGCATGGTGGTTGTCGTCAACAATACTTTATTATATACTTGAAAGTTACTTGAAAGTTACTATACTTGAAAGTTACTTGAAAGTTACTATACTTGAAAGTTACTTGAAAGTTACTATACTTGAAAGTTACTTGAAAGTTACTATACTTGAAAGTTACTTGAAAGTTACTATACTTGAAAGTTACTTGAAAGTTACTAAAAGAGTAGATCTCAAAGTCCTCATCACAGAATTATGGGTAATAATTACCCATAAAGGTAATTGTGGGACGCGATGCAGGTGTTAGCTAAGGCTACGGCGGTGATCGCTTTGCAGCAGGTAAGCGCATCCCATCACTGCACTGCGCACCTGTAAACTTAGACAATGTTGCAGGCCGGTTATATGTCAGTAGAACTGGGGTGGGGGTAAGAACGCTTATGCCATGCTTCAGGTGAGCGTTAACAGAGGTGCGGATCCAGGTGAAGGCTGTGGGGACAGACAGCAGAGGAACGACAGATCAGGGATGGATTCAAGAAGACTGGTGTGTAGGGTTGGGGTTTGCAAGTGGCTGTGGGATTAAATGACACGAATTCATGAAAGGGGCATAAAACAATGCCCAGTCTACATTAAGGGCCCAATAAATGCTCCCTGCTATCATTTTTACACTTCAATACTCTAAAAACGGGTCGAGTGGCTTTATTTTTTAAGTTTTAGGACCCTTCCCCTCACTATCAGCAGAGAGGTGACAGGCACCCACCAAAGCAGCAGGTCCAAGTGACAAGCACGGGGCCTGGCTTGGTACTTTTCTGTCAAAGCAGAAACACTTTCAAAACATGTAGTGAAGAAAGAAACGGACAAAGGAACAAACGAGCAATGACCTCTGACAAACCAGGAAACGGTTTACCAGCTGATCTACCAAACCGTCTGAGAAAGATGCCTTTTCGAGGCAGAACGCACAGGAAGACGTGGCTGACCCACTCAGGAACCAAATCTTTTACGTCCCTCTTATTCCCACAGCCATTTCTCTTCAACGTGACAGCTCCGCAAGGAGAACCAAAGCCCTTATGCGTCTGCTTTGCTGTCCAAGTGGACTTCTGTCTTTTTGCAGCCGCAGAGGACATCTGCCAGGACCCCCATCACGTGGGGCATGAAGGACCCCTGCTTGTCGGCATGAAACCAAGGCGGGAAAGCTGCCCATCTCCGTGCACTCCATCCCCCTGCACAGCCAGGCCACCGTCCCACCTACTGTGGTCCCTTCGAGGTGAGAAACTCCCTAAGAATGACAGAGACGGAAAATGTACATCTTGGCCAATTGAAAAATAACCCTCTTTGTGATCATCATGTATAGTGTTTCCCAGGGGAGGGTACGGCTCAAGAGGCAGAGCACGTGCTTAGCAGGCACGAGGTCCTGGGTCCCATCCCCAGCACCTCCTCTAAAACTAAATAATAAAACCTAATTACCTCCCGCCTGCCAAAAAAAAAATAGTAAATGTATAGTATTTCCTGTCCAATCTCCCTTTATACCAGAAAATGGAATGTTTCTGCTGTAAGACGCATTCGGTATACGCGTTACTGAAATTTCTCATGTTTCGCAACATTCAGTACAAAGAGTTTTTGGGAAAAGCTGGTTTGGTGCGTTCCACTCAAAACTTAGGGACTTTCAAAACACAGTCAAAAATAATGATTGATAATCTAGAAAGGTAATCTGGCCACCCAGGCAGGTGGGTCAGCAGAGAGAGTGGCTAACACAGCAGGTGTGCCCCTGTCTGGGGAGGGGCCGGGGGGCCCAGAGGTCACCGTCATCTCTCTCTCTCACATGCACACAGTCACAGCAGCCGAGCCAAGTACGTTGTCCTGTCCTGCACAAGAAATTCAAAATTCTACTTCTGCTACGGTGCGCCGTCTGCCTGGGAAGAGTGGCATAAACCAACATAACCCTGGCCTGGCTCAGGCGTCTTGCCCTTTGTGACCAATCCCATGCGAGTTGACACGAACCAGAGAACAGAGCGCCCAGCATTTAACGCTGTCCCCACAGCGGCTGGTCTGAGCGGGCGGGGCGTCCTCAGGGAGGTGGCCTGCTCACTGGAGGGCAGGGGCCGGTGAGAGCAGGGCCGGGGGCCTCCCAAGGCTGGGCTGTGACCTGCAGAATCGGGCTCACAGACAAGCACAAATACTTACATATAATATGTTGGATAAAGTCCTTCGAAATACCAGCAGTGCTTTTTGGCCTCTGTACACTGGAAATAAAAGAAAAGATTTGTCAGTGAAAAGTTGCTTGCATATTGGGGAAAAGATCCTCACGGAAAGAAACAAGGAAGCTTAAAGTGTGAGAAGCAGGGGCTGGGGGGGGGGACGTCAAGGAACTACAGAGACCCACCCCCAACATGACTTTTCATTCCTTCAGATGTTTTAAAAGGGAAGAGAACGTCTATTTCCCTAAAATTTTTCTAGCCTTTCACGTCTCTAAATTCAAGGGCGTGAACAATTCATTACAAATGAAAATTAGACAATTCTTTCTTAAAATTCACATGGTGTGTTACTTCAAGTACCTAAAGGACGTTAGAAATACAGAATTACAAAGGCTTCCCCCAGCTTTTGTTTTTGAAAGACATCTGAAACTGAACAATTCTAGATCTGTATATTTCAGGATACAGTCGAGCCCTGAACGATGCAGGGGGTTCCCGGGCGCCCGCCCTCTGCAGAGTTGACAGTTCACATAGAACTTAGCCCCCCACCCCCTTCCCGGTTCCACAGGTCGGTTCCTCAGGGCTGTCGTGTTTACTGGTTTTAAAAATTCACGTGTAAGGCGACCCACGCAGTTCAAACCCATGTTGTTCGGAGGGCGCACTGTGTTCCAAAAGCCATCGACCCCTCAGTGGGCACCTGTGTCTGCTGGACTCTGGAAGTCAGCATCGGTCATCACTCACTCCCAGGGACGAGGAAGACGGAAGTGGGGGACAAGGAGGGACCACAGGAGCCTCCCCTGTGCTTCCGAGGAAATTGATGTGGAAATTCCCGGAGGGCGGGGCAGAGCGGGGGGGGGGGCGCTGCACCTCCCACCCCGAGCAGATGCGTCTGTGCACCAAGGGCTCCCAGTGGAAGTGCCCTGACTTGGCCCAGCAAGGTTCTTCTAAAATCACTCCACTCATGCCATCATTTAAAAATAAAATACACACCCTCCTACCTCCACGATCCAGCTCACTGGCCCCAAGCGTAAATCCCACCTTCAAAATACGACAGCACAAAGCTGCCAGCAGGAAAAGGAGCAGTGAAAACAAAGCTTTCTTTGGGCGAGGCAGGGACGAACTGTCCTGCTGGCTCCGACCCCCGCGGGGTGTGGGATGGCTGCTGCCTCGGCCTGCCCGACAGGTGCGTGCGGAAGTTCAGAAACAGACCCCGAATCTAAGGGAGAGGTGGGTTCGAACGTTACATGTTCTGCCGGCTAAATCAGCTGGGTTATGGAAAGAGCTTGAAGTACTGAATTTTTTTTTAAAAATATGCTTTACGACACTCAGAAGCACATTTAGGCAGCCTGAAGTGACCCAGCTTTATTCATGGAAAGTGAGTTTAATTTAGACTGGGTTAGCTGTTGTCCAGTTCAAGAAATGAAGTTCAGACGGCTGAAGAAGTCAATTTATTTTGGAAGGAAGCGCAATTTCAGGTCTCTGCCCGAAATGGCAATTCATTTCACTGGAGTCTTTGGTGACACAACTGAGAAACCAGGGGGAGCATTTCAAATGTCTCCTCTTTATATTCTCCATCACCGCTGGGGACAGACACACGGTCTCAGAATCTGACACTCAAGTTCCAGACACAGTGAAGGAAGAGTGCCAGCCCGAAGCTGGGGACACCAGGGCCAGAGGCTGAAGCCGTCCCTTCCCGCTGCCCCGGCCCCTCCCAGGGCAGCTCAGTGCAGGGGTGGGGGGTCAGGACACAGGCCCTGCTGTGGGAAGGCCCTCTGCAGGCTCCGTCTTCGGAACCACCACGTTCCTGGCCCCCTGCACCTCATCTCCTAACTCTTGAAACAACAGAACTAGAACCATTAAACCTTTTAGGATTTTTTTCTTGGTATATGAATATGAGGAAGGCCAATTTATAGACAAAAAACTGGGGCCCCCAAAGGGTGTCTCACTCAGATTCACATTTGTTTACGGTGTGGCTGCCCAGAGTTGCCCGAGGGACCTCCTTTGCCCCCGGCCCACTGCCCCCCGCCGTCCGATGACTGCAGGACGGCAGAAGCGAACGGACCGAGGGGTGGCACCTGCTCCCAGCTCCCCCGTCAGCAGGTGAGAGGCTGGGGGCGGGCGGCAGGCAGCATCCATCCCAGCCCGCGCATCTTCCGCACTCAGCTGCCGGCGGGCGGGGGCGTGGGGACGTACACACGCGTGTGTCACAGGGCCGAGCGGAGCACAGAGCTACAGCAGCTGGTGTGAAAACCTGAGCGGTGAGACGGCACGGCTCCCAGACACTCCCGTTCGTGGCTGCTGGGAAGGACACTTAGCAACGCCTGCCAAGCGAGTGTTGCGTTTCTCCTCCATCTCTGGTGATCTCTCCATAATCATGGGACGCCCCACGCACAAGGTTATTTATCGTGGCATTACTTCTAACAGCCAAATTCCGGGAAGGACGTTGAATGCCCGCTCACAGCAGGCTGGCTAGGCGGGGGACGGTGAGTCCATACAGTGGAGGACCAGGCCACCGAGAGGACTGAGGCTTCTCAGAACCAGGATGAAGTGATTTGCAAGAGGCAGCGCTAAGCGAGGAAGTACCATGCCGAGCGATGCATGTAGCACATTAGTTTTTATGGAAAAGGGAAATTGTACATTTGATTAATTCTTTGCAAAAAAGAAATTGCAGGAAGGGTTGTGCAAAAAGTAATGAACTGCTTGCCCCCCCCCTTTTTTTTTAAATCCACTCTTCCCAGCCTGAAGACATTTCCTAAGGACCAGCAGGGAGCTTCTACACAGGCCACCACTTTGCCAAGAGCAAGCACATGAGGGAGCTGGGGTTAATGCTCACACGAGATCGGTACGGGGGACACCCTCTCCCCTCGGTGCCCCGCCCGGCGCAGACGCCCAGCACCCTATTCCCACCCACTCTTGCCCAGACCCCCCCAGACCTCTTCCCGGCAACTCCACTGGGCCTTGCTGGTTACTCTTGCTCAGTTACTGGCCAATAACCTTTTGCCATTTTTCACTGATCCACTCAAATAAGACCTATTTTTAAAACATTAACCCAGTTTGCTCCTTTATAAAAAAAATTCTCTTAAGAAAAAAAAAATATGGCTATGAATATTTCCTGAAACAGAAGAGAAAAAATCCCTTTTAAACGGAGCTACCTAGGGCTAAAATATAGTTTCTTTTTATTGTTCCTGAAATTGGGTTAAGTCCTTTGAAAGTTGCTAATATCCAGGCAACTCCTTCAATTTTTTTTTTTTTTTTGGTCGCTGGACTTTTACAACAGCTTCCTTGTGAGGAATGTCAATGCTGTAACGACACATCTATTTCACGGATAGATGTATCGTTAATGTAAAGAACGGATAATGTAAAGAACACACGTCGTGTCTCATTCACCAGCTGGAAAACACTGGATGAGGACCGAGAGGTCCTGATGCTTCTCGCTGTTGAGGCTCTCCTTCAATAGACGCACGACACTGGGCACCAGGTGTCATGGACAGCCTGCACAGCATCCCGGACGCCTTGTGGGATAAACGGAGATTAGGTTCCACGGGGCGGGAAGTGCTGGGGGAGATTCCTGCGGGAAACCAGCCAGGATGGAGAGCCAGGCTGGGCCAGGGGGAAAAGTCCACCAGCACAGCCACCATCCACCCACCCACGCCCATTTCCAAACCCGGCATAAACACCAGGATTCGGGGCGGAGGCAGGCAGCTGGGGCTCTGCAGAGGCGGTCAAAATGGGAGTTTGTAAGGGATGAGTGAGGGGGCTTTCCAGAGTAGCCCCCAACTCTGGCGGGCTGTCGGAGGTGACGCCGTGAGCGGGCAGACGGCAGCACGGGGAACAGCAGAAAGAAGGCCCCAGCCAGGCTGCGGCGCATCGAGGGGCCGGATGGCTTCTCCGCATCGAGGGGGAATGAATGGAAGCCGAGAGGACCACGTTCCCACCCTGACTGCCACTGCCGGCCACGTGGCCAGTTAGCTCGGATCTCAGCTTCCTTATTTCTAAAAAACAGGATTAGAAGACAGCTTTATGAAGTGACTGAGATTGAATATATCAAAATGCCTGGCTAGACTGGGGTATAGTTCACTGAATCCCACAGCCATTTACCAGCTCCACCCCGAACTGTGTGTCCTGAAGCAACTTCTCTTAATTCTCTGGGACAAGGGACTTCCAAGGCTCGTTTTACTGTGACGGAGCAATGCTTCCAAACCTCTTGAGAACGAAGGTTCTAAATAAGTAATACCTTACATTTGTGTGCTTTCCCGTTTTCCAAAAATCTCCCTAAAAAGAGTAAGGTCTTCTCCAAAAAGAATTTGACCCACTCCTGGGCATATACCCAGAAGGAACCCTACTTCAAAAAGACACGTGCACCCCAGTGTTCACAGCAGCAGTTTACAACAGCCAAGACATGGGACCAACCTAAATGTCCACTGACAGATGACTGGATGAAGAAGTTGTGGTCCATTTATACAATGGAATACTACACAGCCATAAAAAATAATAAAATAATGCCATTGGCAGCAACATGGATGTCCCTGGAGAATGGCATTCTAAGT